TTCAAAGTGGATGGGATAGATATATAGTTACATTCTCTTAATGAATAGAATGATTTGTTCTAATGGTGTTTGTAAATAGGATCTCAAGTCCACATCTTGTACAGCAATTAACCACTAAGAAGAAAGTATGCAGTGTGTTAGTTATTGAAACTGTCCTAGCGATTTGATTTGAAACTGTCTCATTGCTATCTGTTTATCAATAAAATTATGAAAAAAAAGAGCATATAGGTCATGACCAATTGTAGGTCCCTCAGATTGAGTCTACCAAATTAATGCACTGACAGCGACTGAGAGTAAGACATAGATTCTGCATCCTTTGTTGGTAAGTACATACTGCATGAAACACACTTGTCTTTACTACTGCAACATACTCTGATATTTTCAACCTACTTTTGTTTTACTCCATTAAAAAAAAAATCTGCAGTTGTGACTAATTTGATTCCACAAATTAGTGGATTCCACAAATTAGGGGAATCCCTAGTGCTTCCTACTGGTATGTAACACTGAATCACTGTACCACCAAGTGGCAAGAGAGTTGCTGTCCTTAAAAATCTCGTGCAGTGTTTCCACCAAGCTTTATATTCAACCTCCACAGAGTACTCTGCAACCAGCCTCAGGGACACCTGACCTCCGTACTTGGAGGGAGCAGCACATGTTTTGCTCTGCATGCAGCATCGGTCCTCTAGCATCCCATGCCCGTCAATTGCCAGTAGGCACCTCTGAACAGCCAAAAACATACCTATCCCCACTGCCAACTAACCGAGACATCTCAAGCCTGAGCCTAGCCTAGGCAACTTAGTGAGACACTGTCTCAAAATAAAAAGGGCTGGGGATGTGGCTCAGTGTGGAGGTCTTGGGTTCAAACCCTAGTACAAGAAAAATAAAAGACTCGCACTACATCTAGTAGACAAACTGCCTTACTAGCTATAGTCTATCTTCCTATCTCAACTACACATTCACAATGGAAGTTGCTCTAAACTCTGGAAACTGCTTCATTGATGACTTCATCTTCAGGGTAATATTTTATATTTTATTTTTTTGACGTAAATAGATGAGAAGGGGGTGGTGGTGATCAAACTCAAGGGCAAAACTAAACTCCTCCCTTGGATCACAGATCTGGTGAAGGCAGACAGGGAGAGTAGTGAGGAAGGACACATTCAGGTTGGATGTGGGTCAGGTAGGGTAGTGGGGCAGGGCTGTGCAGATGGCCTCCGTGTGTCTGTGGCCTGCTCCTTTTCCCCTCTTCCTGGGGACCTCTGACTCAGGAAGCTCAAGGAGGAGCAAAGACCAGCCCAGACTGGGTAACACACACAGGCAGATACTTTTTATTAACCAAAATTTAACTTGCCCTATTCTCTATTCAAATTGAATACGTGAGGAATATTGAAGGAGCAAGAGAATTCAGCTTGTTCATGGAGGTCCCACATCACAATGTGTTTTGCTGCCAGATTTTTCCTTCCCTGCACACAGGCTATCTCATCTGTGTGTAGCTAATAAGTTATCACTTTTAAGGGTAGATAGTAGGGATTAATATAAAGGGCTCGGTTTTAGGGTCATAAAATGTGTATATATAAAGCGTAATTCACTGTGTGACCCTGTGAAAGTTAACTTCTCTAAGCTTCAAATGCTAATCTAGAAAATGAACTTAATAACAATTTTACTGGGTTGCTGTGAAGGTTACAAAGAATAGATGTAAAGCATCCAAAAGGCTCAGAAAAGTTAAAAAGTATGTCCAAGGTCACATGCAGTGAAGTAGTATAATTGTGCAATAAAATCTCTCAGTCCAGAATTTCAGGTAGGACTGGTCTGGACAGTTGTACAGTACATCAAACTTAGAGATTTGCTTTTCGTTCCTATTTAAGTCTCCCTTTAAGCTAGGTTAAGTCCATGCATGTTTTTTTCCTCCTACGAGTTGATTCTGTTGTCATGTGCTCTTCTCCAAGCCATTCTCTTTGCCTAGGGCCAATGTGAGCCCCTTCACTAACCCACTCATGTGAGCTTTTAGGTGGCAAGGCTGATTTTTAAAGAATTGTAAGGAGCTATAAGATTGCTAGGGTGAGCAAGCTTGAGTTGATCTATCAGTGAAGATGAACCTTTTAGTGCTTTTAAGAATACAAACAGCCCATGTGATAAGCCTGCCACAGGTTCACCACCACTGATCTATAAGAACTAACTGGCGAGATAGCTCAGTGGACTAAGCACCTCGATCCCTGGTACTGCATACCACACCAGCCCTGCCCCCAGGAGTGCTGAGCCAGCCATGGAGACCGAGCCTGGTGGGGCATGCCTGTTATCCCAGTGCTGGGGAGGCAGAAAACTGGAGGAACACTTTGAGTCTGAGCTGCATAGTGAGACCCTGCTCCAAATATGTAAATTTAAAAAAAAAGGAACTAACCCACTTCCACCTAGTATCTTTTTTTTTTTTTCTAAACAACTTTTATTGTTAAGAAATATAAAGAAGGTAAATCTAATATTGTTTCTCAAAGAAAAATCACCTAGCTTTTTTCCCTTCTGGCTTTCCTGCAGTAAATTTTCTTTTATAGTAAAATAAATCATTGTAGGTACTATTTTCTATTATATAGCAAACCACTTCCCCTT